TGGATTCAAAGCTACTATATTATCTATTAACACCAGGTATATAAATTCAATTATTCAACTATGCTGCAATTTCTGGTGGTATCTGATGGATTAATTGGATTTATAGGTAAAGGTCTTCCAGATGTAGATTCAATTCTCAAGCATTTCAAGGATGCTTTTGATTGGGTAGAAGCAAATAACTCGGGCCGTATTATACCTCATGAGGGGGTTGATGAGGAGTATGATGCTGCATGTAAACAATTGCAGGAGATTGAACTTAAATTATCCAAGCACTTGAAGGAACAGAGGAAACTGCTTGGAGACTCATCAGTAAGAACATAGATTTTAATGTGCAGTAGGAGTTTATTGAGCAATAGGCAGTTATTCAGATCCAAATCATATATGTGTGAACATTGCAGATAGACTACGTGACTGTAGGAAAAGATGCATACCTTTTGGAAGTACCAGAATGTTTGTGCAGGAGCATTCCGAAGGAGTACGAATTACAGTCATCGAAAAAGGTTAGTTGGCATACTTCTACATGGCCAATGCTGAACATACCAAGGGTTGTGAATTGTCTTCATGAGATTTCTTGCTACGTAAGTCAAAATTTACCTATTGCTAATGAGATTTAGAAAGTCCAAAGCTGGTTCCGTAGTTACATGCGGTGCCTATTACTATTAATACGATGCTTGAGTCAACCTAGACGATGGTTTCAAAACCTTCATGTAGAAGATTGCTAATTTTAATCAAACTGTTTAACACATGTTCATTATTCCATTGAGCTGTGCATGCATGCAGTTGATGCTGCAGCTTAACAACAGCTAATTGCAGTGTTGTAGTTTTTTATGAGTTCTATTGTCCTCATTGCAAATACTCTCCCTTCCTTATGTGGTTATCTGTATTGGGTTGGATGAGGAGCATGAAGATTCATTTAATCTTTTTAAAGCAGTGGCGATTCTAGAAACAAAGGAACGATACTAGGAAATTTACTATGTGGTATATTGGACTTCGTACTAGGTTTAAACAAGTATATCATCACCCAGTAACTGTAGTTTAATTACCTGGTTTGTTGGTTAGTAGTAGCTGTGCACCTGCTTTCTTTTTAGAAGAACTGGCTGTTAATTGGTCATAGAAGCAATATTTCCAGCCATGTGCCATTACTGATCTTCTACTTTCCCCTATAAAATATCTGGCATGCAGGGTTATTTCAGGTACTGGAATCCAGTCTTAAAGAAATTAATCGGAGAGCTCTCACAAGCTGATTCAGAGAAGGAATCTAAGCTAAAAAGTATTTTGCAGAGGTTGATAGGACGGTTTTGTGAACATCATAATAAGTGGAGAGAATTAGTTTGTATCACTGCAGGTATTGTTGACCCTTAATTTGGACATGGAATCAGATATTGCTCTTAAGTCTCTTTCCCCCTCTATTCATTTTGGAGCAGTACTATCATTAGTGCTCAATGGTGAATCTAGTTAAGTCTTCTGGAAAAAAAAATCATACTTGCTTATGGTGGAAAAAGAATAGGTTACTTTCAGGTTCTCAGTTTTCTTTGCATATTTTTGGGCAGCGACATGATGTTCCATGGAAGTTACTTGTTCCTTTTCATGCATACTTGATTGTATTCTTTCGTTAAGAAAATTTGGAGGTGGAAACTTATGTATCATTCTTTTGTCTGCTTTGTCCTCCTGGTGACAGCTCAATCAGTCTGCCCACTAAAAAAAATGCTCTGCCCCAGCTGAACAGTGGATTTGGAAACATAAAAATCTCTAATTAAGGCTAAAAGAAGTCTCTTTGCTTTTGTGTCTCTCCTCTGTATGCGAAGAAACAGGGGAAGTAAAGGTTGAGGAAATATAAGAAACCATAAATAGTGTATTCTGAAGTAAAAAGCAAGATAAGAAGATGGTGATTCTTTTTTGATAAGGGAAGAAAAAAAGAAGGTGATTCTTTTCTATCAATAACTCGTTCTTAATTTCATAAGATTCTTTTAAGCAACAGTTAACGGAAGGGCGTCGACATTCCAGAAAAGTGGAGAGGTCTCTGTGATTATAACAAACTCGGAGGGAGGCTCCCTAATTTGTAACAACTTTTTCTCAGTTAAAAAATATCTTGGTTATTATGCTCATTTGACTTCAAATTAGAGGAAATTGGGAGGTTAGTCACTATGTCCAAATCAATTCCTGGTAAATAGCACTGTGTTGAACATAACTAATATCCTCTTGCTTTAGAAAGAGCTTTTTGCTCGTGAAGTTTAAATTTATACTTGGTAGAACTTTGATTCAAGAGCATCTGCTATATTATCAGGTATTTAAACAAAAGAAGCTTAATGATACACAATTAGGATCTTTAATACAAGAAATGTGGCTGTTATCTCTTGCAGAATTGGATGTTTTAATCAGTTTATCTATTGCGAGCGATTACTATGAGGGACCAACATGTCGTCCAAACATCAAGTCAGTGCCAAGTGAAGATGATGTGCCAGTTCTTCATGCTGAAAATTTAGGACATCCTGTTCTTAAAAGTGATTCTCTAGATAAGGGAGCTTTTGTTTCCAACAATGTTTCCCTTGGCGGTCCTCCGAACGCCAGCTTTATCCTTCTTACTGGTCCTAACATGGGAGGGAAATCCACTCTTTTGCGCCAAGTTTGCATGGCTGTAATTTTGGCCCAGGTGAGTTACATCCAGTAGAAAATTAGTGTTTTCTCATATATCGATGGCTAAAAGATTTTGACGCTTCTTAGATAGGAGCTGATGTACCAGCATCATCCTTTGACTTATCACCCGTCGATCGTATATTTGTAAGAATGGGGGCCAAAGATCATATTATGGCAGGCCAGAGTACATTCTTGACAGAACTCTTGGAAACTGCTTCAATGCTGGTGAGGTTTTATTGTTTCTAAAGGCTGTTATCAATTTATTGCTTGACTACCATCTGATTTTGTTAGATATATACCATCTGGCTGAGAGTGGAGGGGAGAGAGAATTATGTAAACAAATACATAAGTTAATAATTAATCGACTTATATCGTTGTACCTGCTTAGACACGGTCATTATTAAGAGCAAAATGGGGTTGATATTAATTTCAACTAAAAGGCTGTTATCAATTCATTGCTTGACTACCATTCAGTTGTTTCGGATATAACTATTTAATTGAGAGTGAAGGGGAGAGAGTTATGTAAACAAATAAATAAATAATCGACTTGTATTATGGTGTCTGCTAAGATGGCCTTAGACATGATCACTATTAAGAGCTAAATTGGGAGATCATTATTGGGTTGTTGATATTAATTTTGCACTCTCGTCTTCATTTAGTAATCTGAACATTTGTTTGCTTGGGGTAACTATCAATGATTGTAGTCTTTGGCGAGCCGTAATTCACTTGTCGCACTCGATGAACTTGGTCGCGGTACATCAACTTCCGATGGACAAGCAATAGCGTATGTGCCAATTATACAAAAAACATTTTTGATTATTTGTTACGGTGTAGATTTTATTCTCTTTCCCTTATTTGCTCAAACATTTTCACCTAAGATCATTATGTTATGTTTCTGGTTCTGTTGGCAGTGAATCAGTTCTTGAACACTTTGTCCACAAGGTGCAATGTCGAGGAATGTTTTCTACCCACTATCATCGATTATCTATTGACTATCAGAAAGATTCCAGAGTACTGTCTTCCAATCTTTCACTTCCCTTTTAACTGCCGTATTTTATGTGCATTGCTTTAAAGATCAAGCATTTGGCCTGAACATTTTGATGCAATACCTAGAAGAATAATAAAATCAGACAGTTAATAAGTGGATGCCTTTTGGTTGATACTCATTAGCTTACTTGTTTTGATTTCGACTATTAACCTGCTAAAATCGGATGCTCAGTAGATCACTTACTTGGAATTCTATGTTCTTTGGTTGTGTAGGTGTCACTGTGCCATATGGCATGCCAAGTTGGGAAAGGGTCCGGAGGTCTTGAGGAAGTTACTTTTCTATACAGGTTGACACCAGGTGCATGTCCTAAAAGTTATGGTGTCAATGTGGCACGGCTGGCTGGTATGTGTGTAAAAGTTTTTCTACTGCATCATGAAGTCTTGCTTTATGTATCTTTTCCGTTCCACCTCATAAAGGTTTAGGGGACTCGATATCTCTTTTGTCATCCAATGAGAGGGTCATTTCGCGTTGGTTTGCAACCTTAGTTTGTGAACTTAGGCCTCAATTTTATTTTCACTTTTAGCTTGTTGAACCACATTCTTTAATCTCAGAACTCTCTTTTCAGGACTTCCTGATGGTGTGCTTCAGAGAGCTGCTGCTAAATCTGAAGAGTTTGAAATTAATGGTTACAATAAGCAATCTGAAGAGAACTCCTATGGGAATTTGACAAGAAAGACAGCAGCACTTGTGCAGAATTTGATGAATTTTATTATTGAAGAGAAATGTGACAATGGTGTGGTTCTTTGTGAGTTGAATGGATTGCAAAGGAGAGCAAGAATACTCCTTGAACAAAATTGAAAAGAAATCTTAATGTACATCTCCTAATCCTGTATGGGCATTCTTATTCCCTAGTGTTACTCTGTTGCAACTAATTTCAGTTGCCAATTTTGTATAGAAGCATGCTTTAGCAAAGTCCCCTCGTTGATTAAGGTTGCTATTAGAGTTTTACAAAAGAAAAGATGTTAGTAAGCCAATTTTTTTCTTTACTATTCCAAATTTTGCCCACATGGAAGGTAGCGGACTTCACAACATGGTCAAAGGCAGTAGTTGGCATAGGGGTGTGGAGGGGTAGGTTGTCTCCATCCAGTTTGTAATTTCGTATAGTGAAACATCAAACAACCTAGTTTGTTGGCAATATCTAACCGTTTTAATAAGGTTGGTTTCTCTTCCATTTGACTTGGATCGCAAGAGGAGTTTGGCCAGGGTCGTTGGCCTAACTGAAATATATAAGTATTTCTATTTCGCATTTGTCTTTGTAAGTAAGCTAATAGCAGTAAGTTGTAGTAGTTTGTTAAAAGAAGCAATGGAATTGTATTAATAATCAATCTAACTGCCAAGGAATCTGTTGTGAAACTTTCATTACTCTCCACGTGTATGGAAAAAACCAATTAGATGAGCATCAGCATGATGCTTAGAAAATACAAATTACATTGTTAATGAAAAAAATAAACAATTGGGGAGGACTCTCGTATTAGTTGTCTTGGTCAGAGTTGGATAACCTGTCTTCTGTATCCTGAATAAAGAAACAAACAAAATATTTAGATTGTATTTATGGAGCTAACGAACATGTTAGAAAATGATTGGACTTGAAGTTGGATTGAGTTGACAAAATATATAGAAATGAGATTACCATATACTGCTGTCTAATGATAATCTGAATTCTTGTGATTAACAGGACTATAATGTACATGGGCAAGAGTATTCCAGTGGATTTTATAATAAGCAGCTGCAAGCAGAAAGGACAAATAAGGTTGGTAAGAACTACTTATTACAGTTAAATTGGTACCAAATTACCATTTTATTATTCAACATCACAATCAGATAAGTTGGTACACTTACTGTAGGAAGTGTAAAGGGATAGTTTCTTGGTCCTCCATTGAGCACCTCTAGCAGATGTCTCATCATAAGCAGAATTGTGAACTGCAAAATTAAATTAATACCATAATGTTAAATTGACACCACATTAAGTGACAACCCCCCAACAAAAAAGCAAAAAGGAAAAATCTACGGATATTAATAAATACCATATTAATGATCAATTAAAGATAATGAAGTTAATTAATGTCCACACAGGATCACGAACTAGTGCATAATGCATATGTCATGTGAAAATAACCGAAACTGGACTATTTCCGGTTCATGTTTTTGGGGGCAAATCGCAAGAAGAAAGTTAAATAATTAGTAACTTAAATGTTGGTTTCCATAATAAAATAGTACTTATGAAGCAGCATTGAAGCACATGTGTTTTTGGGCTGTCATTAACTATGTTTGATTATTACGTTTCCAAAGAGACAATTTAATGGTTAAGATGTCACAATTCGAATGGTAAGTACAATTACAAGCGTAAATTTCTCATCTTGACCATTAATGTTGAGTTGGACGTTGTCTATTTCGTTGTTAACTAGTACTTATATAACATACAAAAGCAATGACGCAAAACTCAAGCATTAATTTGAAAAAAGGAAAAAAATTCAAGTGCTTACAATGAGAGCAACAGTTCGACAACAAGAGGCACTTCTATCTGCTGCTTGTGAGCATTCAGAATACTGACTCCTCACCAGCATTTGTCCTTCTTCTTCTGAATCTGACTCCAAAACAACCACTCTTTCCCTTCCATTTTCTATATTTGCTTCTGCATTTCCTCTACATGCAACCAAATGTCCATATATATTAATAACGTTATATATTAATAACGAGTTTAAATTCTATGTACCGTACCGATATAATTTAATTATATATATTGATAGCATAAAAAAGTCTTACATAGTCAGAGCATATAATTTAATTAGATTAGATTCATTAACTAACAAGTGCGTTAGTAATGGTAATTAAATATTGCCCCTCATGGCGAAACTGCTTAATAAACTTGTACTACTACTTATTACTTATTTATATCCATTGTCGGAGATAAAAATATTCAGACATCCCTGGCAGTTTCTATAGTGATGTATTAACTATATATCAAGTACAATGAAGGAGACAATAGCAATATTAAATTTACATTAAAGGCTAGTCTACAAATATAACGTGCCAACTATCTTTCTTTCTTTTTCTGTAAAAATAAATTTCCAGGAGGAAAATTGGTCGAATACATACCTAATTGTCGCAGCTGTATTATCAAGCAAGTCGGCCTTCTTAGGAGGTGGAGCCGTGTATCCAGGTTCAAATTTCTGCAACGTTAAAAATGTCATCAACTTTATAAATTACTCAGATACAGAGTACAAAAAAAACTAATAGTATTTTTTTGATGTGGTCAGCAACACTATAAACGGAAGATATTTAAAATGGACTTCACTTACATATACAGTGCCCTGTAAAGAATTCTTATATTATCAATTACATGTTGTCTGTCTTATATTTTTTGAGGATTTATTATTGATTTTTTAAAATTATCCTAGGTGATCTGATAGTAAAAAAATTATCGTATACTGTCACCCTTAAAAGTTAACCTCTTTAAAGTTAATACATGAACATTGAACAATCCAAATCCAAATCCAAATAGAAAAAAAAATGAAAAAGAAGAAGATAGCAACAGAAAATTACGTAGCTTAAACTGAACGTCAAAAGTATAAGCAACCAGTCAAGAAGTAGATAAGCATAGACGATGTAGACATTTCCATTCTTTATATTATCGAAAGAAAGCGTGTTCTGATTTCTGTCATATGTTAATTATCTTCATTTCCCAAAATGTGTGCATTCTCCATGTCCTATTTTACGCGAAACTTAATATTATTTAGAGGGTCAAATTTAATTGCGATTTCCCCATTTTTGCTTTAAACATTTTGGATTAATACTTATGAACGTATAGTACTTCTCACATGATTTTGTTAAATATTTATTTTTATTTCGAAAAGTTTTATGAATTTTTGTATGAATGGACACCAAAATTAAGGTTTGACCAAAATTAAGAACGGGCTACGCCTGCCTCCATTTCAGTAGAAGAAAAAACAGAGGAAGGAACCTTAAACCAGTAAAAATGGTTTTAAATGACAAGAACAGAATATGTGATTTTGTACGGTAATACAATTTACTAAAACAAAAGAAAACCCAACAAAAATCAGTTCTGTTAGTTTCATTTCTTGAAATTGGAATGATCAAAAAAATAAGAACCGAAATTCGAACCTGTAAACAAATTTCGCAGATTGTATTTCCCTTTTCATTGCACCATCTTTGAATACAATCCCTGTGTGCAAACTTAAAAAAAAGAAAAACAAAAAGTCCAAATTCAATATGTGATCACCAAAAAAATAAAATAAGAGGATCAAACCAGCTCAATTAGAAACTTAGTTACCCAAAGAACATTTAAATGATAAAAATTAATAATCAGTAGTAATTACCTTGACAGTTCCAGAACATGCACAAGGAGCTTCTAAATTTTTACAGCTTTCAAATTCTTCGTCATGGCAAATTCTACATAAATATGTTGAAGCAGAGATGAATTTATATTCATCTACATATATTATCACTTCTCCCATCTGAGTTTTGCTTTTCATAATAATCTGTTAACTTTGCCCGGCAATTTTCTTCTTCTCCTTTCTGTTTTTCTTCTTTCTCTGTTTTCTTGGAGTTTTGGAGCGTAAAATATACCAAGAGGATAGAGGCTGAAATTCCAAGATTGCCCTTATTCGGAATTTTCAAATGAATCTACCACATATATAGGTACAAGTTGTACATAATCAATACGCGCTTAAAGAATTTAAATTAAATCTTTTAGGATCTTAGAAAATAAAAGAAAATTATATACAAAGCTAACCATCTTTTTCCATTTTCCACCTCTATGATTAAGCAATTATCCGACATGCATGCCGCAGCGGCGGATCCACCCTATAAATTTGGGTTCCAGTGAACCCATCCGGTAAATTAATTTTTTCATGTATATAATTTACAGAAATGGTCTAATATAATTCTTAGGAACTCATGCACTACAAGGATAAGTGGTGCACTGGCTAGATGGTTGTTTTACTTATCCAAGGACAAATGATTGATTCCTCTTGGACTTTCTCATTATACAATTTTCTTTCCTTTTTTTTAATCTTTAATTTTTTCTGGTCCTACGGTGTTTTATTCCCCCAAATACCAATTTATGGCAACCTCAATCCCAGCTCTCAAGTAGTTTTCTATTTACCCTTTTTGCTTCTAAGTTTTTAATTGCTTTAACCTCAAAGAATTTTGAATTGTTAGTATAGTTTCTTAAGGAATATTTTAGTTTATTTTTGTAAGTAATTTACATATAAAGAATTAGTCATATGTTAAGATTTTTGTAATATTTTTTGTGCTTCTTTTTGCACTAAAATTTTCACAAGTTTCAAATTTTACAGTATTAAATTGTCATTAGCATTTTATTTTCCCTCTTTGTTTTGAATTTTGATGGTAAAAACTGAGTTGTTTAAGAAGTGTATAAATTATCTCTTTAAATAATATTTAAAATTGATAATAAGTCATAAAATACTAAAAGTTCTCACATTAATTAACATTATTAATCAAATTATTTTTTGACACTATTTATAAGCACCACGTTAAAGCCAGTGGTGCACCCATGGTATCAAAATTCTGAATCCGCCTCTGATGGGTGCACCACTTATCCTTGTAGTGCATGAGTTCCTAAGAATTATATTAGACCATTTCTGTAAATTATATACATGAAAAAATTAATTTGCCGGAAGACCATGGGTTCACCGGAACCCAAATTTATAGGGTGGATCTGTCGCTGTTGATTGACCATAATGTTGATTTATCATCTGCCACTGCTAACTTGATCTCTTATGTAACACTGCCGCTAGGTCTCACATCTCATTGGGGACTCTAGAGTAATTAGATTGATCCACCTAGGGGCGATACTATACTTTCATAACTATATTTTATAACATCCTAATATGACTCACCTTACATGGGTATTTTAATCCGGTACAATTCATGAAATCCTCTTTGATTCATTACTCAATTGAAGGCCCAAACGTCATCGTTTATCTATTGCAATCACACCCTTATTTCACTACCAGGGCAGCATTCCATCTTTTCTNAATCCGCCGCTGGCACCCATGGTCTCAAAATCCTGGATCCGCCTCTGTGCATGCAGACTCTTAGTATATTTTGTTTTTGCCTATTATTTAGAGGGTTGAGTATTAGGGTTGTAGGTTAGGAGGTAGTTGAGTTTTGCCTTATGTCATAATTTTATGAGACTAGTTTGGTAGGGATACTATTTTACTTTTGCTTTGTATCTTTCTTCTTGATTTCATGTTGTTCCTGTTTTTCATATTATTTCTGTGGTGTTACTGATATTGTCTCCTTTTGTCTTTTTGTCTTCTTGAGCCGAGGGTCTTTCGGAAACAGCCCCTCTACTCCTTCGGAGTAGGGGTAAGGTCTGCGTACACACTACCCTCCCCAGACCTCACTAGTGGGATTTCACTGGGTTGTCGTTGTTGTTGTTGTTCCAAATATAACTATTTGGGTGGTTCAGCTATAAATTATACTCATATTATTTAACTCTCAAATAATTAATATTAAGGGATAGCAATAATTTTGTTTTTTAATGTTTATGATTTAATTTAATTTCTTGTTGGGCATAATTCGAGATGCTTGAATTTAGCTTTCATAATCATTTCAGTGCATAGACAAACATGCAAGGTTAGTAGTAGATGCAACACTTACGCTGATGTTTAATTAAATTTTATATATAAATATGAAAAATATTTTGTATTTACTAATTTAATCTATATCTATTTCAATAGAAAATTACTTTGATGAGTAACTAATTAAGCATTATTATATTGATAAGCGATCATTCGTGTTTAGCTTAAGATGGAGAAAAATAAAGTTAGTTTAGCCACTTTAACCATTATATCTTTGCCACAAACTAACTTACCAACCCTTCTTCTCCCTTACTCCTTCCTATATAAGAGAGATAAACGAAATTTCTCTTTTAATGAAAGGAAAAGAAGAAAATATACACAAATAAACAAGTAGTAATTTTATAATGAGGGATGATGTGCAACATATATGTAAGCTCCGACAAGTTCTTGTTATGAAATTTACAACAAGCTAAAGTTTGCTAATTTCTTTAATAATAGTATTGTTCAATGAATTAAGTCCATTCATTAATGTCGCAAATAAATTTTAAATGCTCAACGTAATTTGTCGGATTACTATACGTTACTTGATTTTTTTGTTAGGTTATCAATCCTTATTCAGAGTAAATACTTACGTACAACTAACTAGTTTTCAGCAAATATTTTTACAATATGGTTGGATAAAACTTAATTTCTTGATCTTTGGTTGAATTGAAAAATAAAAAGTCAAGTAGGGTCCTATGATTCTGGTATTTGTACGTGGCCACCTAAGTGCGTATAACAAACAACATACGAAAATGAGTTAAGTTTGTAATTAACTAAAAGATGGAATATTCAAGTGTTTTATTTCCATTTTTATTTAATTAAAAGGCAACTAATTATGCATTATCTAGAAACTAGAGTCCCCAAGAATTATTAATCAATTTGTAGTTTACTAGTCTACCGGTATTCCATTTTTGAATTTGTGAATCTCTCTCTTCCAATAGTTTGAATATGAGGTGTCTGATTGTTTGATGAACGGCTATAGTATAAGTTGTTCGGCTGCCAACAATTTTAAAAACTTGTGGGGACCTATTCGTAAATTATCCAAAAAATTTGCAACGCGCTCCCACCGAAGAAAAAGAAGAATGATTCTGTAGGGACCATTTTGAGAGTACGGCCCATGTTGTCTTGATGTCTCTCTATCTTAATTAATTTTGTGAATTTTATTCATACCAAAGGTATTTGTTAATGTTTTTCCCATACCAGTTAATAAAATATGAAACCGATCAAAAACAAAACTTTCGAACATATATAAAAGTTTTAATATATTTATATTTAGATTATAATTCAAGCAAAGGCAGGTGGAATATAAATTCAATACTTTTTATACTGAATATACACAGTTATAAATTTTTTAAGAAATATTGAATTTTACATTATAATTTAAAAAGTACAGTGAGTTCAAATTAGAATATCGATCCATCAAATTCAAATTCTATAAATGCTGTAAACTCGTATTGACTATTTACAAAATTAAATTGGAGTTGTGATTTCTTCTTTCTAGAGTTTTTCTAAAAGAACACATTTGTAAGCTATGGGGGGATATTTATATTTTGATTGCTGACATGTATGCTTATCTTCTTCTCGTTCTTATCACGTCTCTCTAATCACTAATGTCCACTGGCTTACATGGAGGGTCCCTACAAATCCAAATGGAAACATCAGAAAAAGTGGCAAACAGAAGGAAATGAGGAAAAGGAAGTTAATAAAAGATAGCTTTAAATTAAATGCAACTTGGCATATTACATTTGGATGGTATAATTTGACACTAGCAGCTAAGCAAAGAACTATTGACTGAGTCGCCCTATTGGTTTTATCAAGGGACAAGTTGTGACTTGTGAGAACGGACTCTTGCAAATTTGGGGAAAAGCTAAGCTATAGTCTGTGACAGAGTGGTCGGCACTATATTGTGATGATTAGAAAATTATTGGCCTATGAAGATTTCTATTTTCACAAATATTTTATCCACGTCCTAGGTGAATTTTAAAACTTTTGGGCGTGAAAGCAACAATTCTACGTACAGTAACTCATTAATAATGACCGATGAAATTCACAAAGAATTTAAATTATATAAATTGATAGTACAAAAAAGTTTCAAAATTATAGTATTATTTAATCACTAATAACATACTTATATATTGTTTACTTTGAAAATGCTAACTACAATTATATTTGATTTTGTGGTTCTAAAAATACGTGATTTATTTCAATATTAATTGTTAGATAATAGATGCTAAGTGTAAGCAAAGAAAAGAAATGCAAACCGATAGGGTTACAAGGCTGGGCCTCGAGCTGGCTGGAGCAGAGCCTCGAGGTCTAGATGGAGCTAATAGCAATGAATAATTGATGAAGAATTAATGATAATGAGGGCCTCAAAGATGGCCTTTTGTGGTCAATAATGAGCAATAAATGAAGAACAATAAATGAACAATGGATGAGCACTGAAAGAATAAACAATAAATGTGAAGAACAATTGTTTAAGCAAAGAGCAGAGAATGTTGTATTGTATTCAATATGTTGTGTAATAATCCGAATCCTTTACAAGATGATAGGGGTCCCCTTTATATAGGAGGGGTGGGAAATGTTATTGGTACAACTGTATAATGGCTCAGTACTAACTTGTCCTATTCTTGCAGGGCAGGCCCTGTCAGTTCCGATCACGTGCCCTTGGGAACTTCCCGTTTTTCCATGATTATCGTCGGTTTTCGTGCTACCTCGAGGTATGCCACGATGAGTCTTCGGTATACCTTCTCGAGATGGGTGCTTCGGGGGCGAGCCATGGATCTTGCTTCGAGCCTATCGAGGCCAGACTCGGAGTATCATAGAAGCCTCAAAATGAGCCTTCCTTGATTTTGACCGTGTACAGATAGTCTCCGTGTTCCTTGGAATGAAATAACAAGGAACGATTTGACTTCTTCAACTCTTCAATACCTTTATCATTACGTCAATTATGTCATGTGAACTGTTAATGTGACAAAAAGGGGATGTTCAAAAGTCACGTTCGTACGGCTCTT